ATATATATATATATATATAAACTGACAAATGTGTTTGCACTTGTGGTTGTGAGTGAAAGTGGTGGGGATGGTGGCAGGTTGCATTAGAGCTGGTAGAAAGAATGATATTAGAAAGGTAGGGTGCCTGCATTGTTCTAAGTGATTGCATCATTATGGTTAGCTCTGCTGTTTGCGCCAACACAAACAATAGCTTGAATTTATAATGCAGACTAATTTCTCAGAATCACTATGGAGAACCGCTGCTCCTAAAGCACTTGTTTAGCGACAGTAGGGCAGGGCTTTTGATGAATCACATTTCCTAAAGTTACATCTGTCCCTTGATTTTGAGAGTTCTCCACAGACTCTGATTCATAAATTCACAAGGGGTATTATTGGTAGCACTGTTTCACTAAATGGGACACTAAAAAGCAAACTCATCACTGGCTGCTGACTTCTTTTTCATAAAAAGATGTGTTTTTGCCCAGGTTCCAATATACCAGATAACGTTACAACTTGCTCCAGGCATAAATGTCCAGAAGGACATTATATCAAACAAGACAAAAGAATGGCATCAAACCAGAAATTACAAAGATTTTATAAATTGTAGTTTTCTGAGAAAATACATTTCTAAGTTTGGTCAATGTTCAACATATTTGGTGTGTACTTCAGAAAAATTTAATTTAACCCTACTAACTTCATCCCTCTCTCATCACATAATTATAGCACTTTATCCTGATGCTTTCTTCTATCTTCAGGAAAAGTGTGTAAATGAGGAGCGTAAACTGATGAACGCGTATCCAGGTGCTCGTGCACGAGGAGAGGAGATTAGCATAATTACCACCCCAAAAACACCATATAAGGYTATGTTTCCCGCCTCAGATATCAGGAAGTGTCCATTCATGAAAATTACAGCGAAAACTAAAAAGAAGAACTTTATGAGTTTGGAGATTGAAGTCCTGCTGTCAGAGATCCAGAAAAGAAAATCTGTCATTTTTAGCAGGTCAGCTGTGGAATAAAAGGAGCTGCTAAAAGTATAAACTGTGTTAAATCATTTTCATTTATTCAGAAGCCACACCGTCACGCACCTTATAAACACCTCTGACTGGTTTAGTATGTCCACTATTTAATTTATACCCTTGTTCAAAATATGTACACTTTTATCTCCACAGCAGCTCATATAATGTGTTAAGTTGTAGAACAAGCTCTGCTTCTCCTGTCGATTTCAGCTTTAATGTTGTAGGTGTTTTCTAATGAATCATTTTTTTCTGATTGGTAAATTGCAATGAAACTACGGTTAAGGTAATAATAGCTCGATTAAACAACATCCAGAATATTTCAATTCTGGCTGAAGTTGAGTAAAAAGTAGGCTACAGACTTTTTTAAACGTTAATTGTTTTTGAACCAACAGAAAAATGTTTAAAATTTCGAAAAAAAGTTGCTAAAAATTCAATTTAGGGCAGAATTAGAATGGATGTAAATGAGCAAGCTTGATTGAAAAGATAAATATAGTAATCATATTTGTTGTGAATTAATAAAGTACACAGAGACACTGAAAGTAAGGACATATTTATGTTCAATCAAAATCGGGCAATATCGCACTTTCCCACAGTGTTGTACTGAGGCCTGAGTAGGTTTTGTGCTTTAAACAAAAAAAGTAAATTTATTTAACTACATGCTTTGTTTTCCCAGCTGACCCCACTTCTCTGAACAAGGTACAAATAACCAAGTCTTGACTTTTATATTTACAGCACTGTTTAGGTATTGAAAGTTGACTATGAGTCGACTCATACAGAATCCAAAATTAAAAATCATTTGAGCAATGACATATGTCCACCACTGCAAGTACCAGGAAGTAGAGAAATGCCTTACATTTTCTCATAAAAAGGGGAAACTATAGCTTCCTCAGTTGATCAAAAAAGTTCCTGCCTATATAACAAAACACTTTTAGAAAACAATTGCAGCTAAAACCAGAAGTTTCCATATCCATTTTAATTTCTAGGAATAAACAGAAAGCTTAAACTGGAAAAACTGATTGTCAAAGTAACTATCTTGCATTAACTTCTGCAGTATCAGCAAGACCGACATCTTCAGAGAAGATAGGACACAGAGACTATGACTTAAAGTCAATACAAATAATGGCACCCTCATAAAAATCAAAGAAGAAATGATATATCATCATGGCTAAAAAGAAAAAAAAACTGGTTATTGTGTTAGTTATAATCAAACCAGATGCGGTCCTTTATACTTTAAATATTTGAGGAAAGCAATGAGGTATGTAAATACAGTGTTCATAGTGGACAAATCACAGCTGCTGCAGTCTGCATGACCACAAAGTGTTTACATTTGTAGGGAGATGCATAAAAAGGAGCGGAATAGAG